AGAATCTAGGGCTAACCTGCAAGAGTCACCACATTTACAGGCGGAACCACATCCACAGGTAGAAGCAGCCATTGTTTTGATTAATTCTCTTTGATTTAAAATTTGTAGTTTCTTCTTTGCTTTCTTGAGGCTTTATGTGACTTGAACAAATGGAATGGCCACTATTTATAGAAGAAGAGAAAGATTCGGTTTTTATATCCACCATACATGTCGTTTTCTCTATATTTTATTGGTGTAAGTTATCATTTCGTATATGACATGGTAAAGGAAAAAAGTGTATATATGGAATAATTTCTCTATATTGCAAATTCTCTTTTTTCCACTATATGTATAAGTATAATTCTGTTTTGGGATTGAAATTGGATTACAGATTCGATTTTGATCATGACGAATAATCTCTATTCTACCAAATCACTAATTAGATTATATAACTGATCAAAACATTTTTATTTTATAAGAACCTTAAATAATATAGTGAGAATCTAGTTGTATGTTTTAACAGATTTATCAAAAAGAAAAAGAAAAATTTGGGTATGAACAAATAGTTAGAAAACGTCAAATTATTGACGAATAAAAATAAAAAAGTCGTACACGCAACGAAAAGCGATTGTAATTGGAAACGGCAAGCCGACCCAAATAAAAGGCATGAAACGTGCCTCTTTCATCTGCCTCATATATGACAATATGTAAAAATTTATACCGTATATTTCATGTAATAAAAGTCAATCATTAGAAAACAACACAATAATATTCATAGGAGAAACATTATCCTTTCTTATACTAATGTTATCTTATGCGTCAAGGAAAACGTATATAATAAGAAATATCATAATCTGTTTTGAAATCTTCCTCTGATCATTTGGACGACCCAAGACACTGTCTACGTTCTTCACCCACTTATTAATATTATGAAAGTTTAGTGTGTGATTGTTATGATCCATAGTTGACAAAATAAACGTCCCAAAATTTCGGTGTAAAACTTAAAAGTTACGATGAGATGGGATAGAAGTTTGTATGGTTTTGAGCTTTAAACTAGAGGACATGATCAAAAGTTTGAGTGATTAGTCTTGTATAAAGTTTGGATATTATGTATAAACTTTCCCTAGTTTTTGACTGATGTTGATGAGGAGCGCCAAAATATTAAGAACCACACAATCTTGTTTGGGTTGAGTCGTCTAAGTCTAGATTCTTCCAAAGTCACGAAACTTCGCAACTTTTTGTAAAAGAAAATATACAAAGGAATACCACATTATCGTAGATGGATCATTATAGCTAGAAGTCTAACACATGCACTAAGGTGTGGTCGTTTGTTTCTTGCCCCTTCAAGATCCTGAATTGGTGAATTCATTTTAATTGGCTCTTTTTACAACACAAATCCAAACCATTGTTCTAGACTTTTTTATTCGTACGTGCCTACCTCGTTTACTTAATGATATTTGGGAAATAATTTCAAAAGTGGTAGTGACATTTTTAAAACAAATTCGGATTCTTATATAGATACAATGATGGGGACTACGGATGGTTGCAGTTTTATTGATTTTCTAGTCTTTGTTTTAA